CCACACATAATGTAAACAAACCAGATGAACACGTCTGGTGTTCATTCACGCACGTTTGTATTATACCATAATACAAACACTTTACATTGTGTACAAGTTGTCTCCACGTTGAAACAGTAGAATAAATAAAGACCAACACTTCAATTCTCATGTAATTTTTAGAAGGAATGATGCTCTGACAATTATTATTACAAGTTATTATTACAAGTTATTATTATTACAAGTTATTACAAATTATTATTACAAGTTATCATTATTATTATTTATTATCACACCGGCCGATTCCCACCAAGGCAGGGTGGCCCGAAAAAGAAAAACTTTCACCATCATTCACTCCATCACTGTCTTGCCAGAAGGGTGCTTTACACTACAGTTTTTAAACTGCAACATTAACACCCCTCCTTCAGAGTGCAGGCACTGTACTTCCCATCTCCAGGACTCAAGTCCGGCCTGCCGGTTTCCCTGAATCCCTTCATAAATGTTACTTTGCTCACACTCCAACAGCACGTCAAGTATTAAAAACCATTTGTCTCCATTCACTCCTATCAAACACTCTCACGCATGCCTGCTGGAAGTCCAAGCCCCTCGCACACAAAACCTCCTTTAACCCCCTCCCCCAACCCTTCCTAGGCCGACCCCTACCCCGCCTTCCTTCCACTACAGACTGATACACTCTTGAAGTCATTCTGTTTCGCTACATTCTCTCTACATGTCCGAACCACCTCAACAACCCTTCCTCAGCCCTCTGGACAACAGTTTTGGTAATCCCGCAACCTCCTCCTAACTTCCAAACTACGAATTCTCTGCATTATATTCACACCACACATTGCCCTCAGACATGACATCTCCACTGCCTCCAGCCTTCTCCTCGCTGCCAGACATTCATCACCCACGCTTCACACCCATATAAGAGCGTTGGTAAAACTATACTCTCATACATTCCCCTCTTTGCCTCCAAGGACAAAGTTCTTTGTCTCCACAGACTCCTAAGTGCAACCACTCACTCTTTTTTCCCTCATCAATTCTATGATTCACCTCATCTTTCATAGACCCATCCGCTGACACGTCCACTCCCAAATATCTGAATACGTTCACCTCCTCCATACTCTCTCCCTCCAATCTGATATTCAATCTTTCATCACCTAATCTTTTTGTTATCCTCATAACCTTACTCTTTCCTGTATTCACCTTCAATTTTCTTCTTTTGCACACCCTACCAATTCATCCACCAATCTCTGCAACTTCTCTTCAGAATCTCCCAAGAGCACAGTGTCATCAGCAAAGAGCAGCTGTGACAACTCCCACTTTGTGTGTGATTCTTTATCTTTTTAACTCCACGCCTCTTGCCAAGACCCTCGCATTTACTTCTCTTACAACCCCATCTATAAATATATTAAACAACCCACGGTGACATCACACATCCTTGTCTAAGGCCTACTTTTACTGGGAAAAAATTTCCCTCTTTCCTACATACTCTAACTTGAGCCTCACTATCCTCGTAAAAACTCTTCACTGCTTTCAGTAACCTACCTCCTACACCATACACTTGCAACATCTGCCACATTGCCCCCCTATCCACCCTGTCATACGCCTTTTTCCAAATCCATAAATGCCACAAAGACCTCTTTAGCCTTATCTAAATACTGTTCACTTATATGTTTCACTGTAAACACCTGGTCCACACACCCCCTACCTTTCCTAAAGCCTCCTTTTCATCTGCTATCCTATTCTCCGTCTATACTCTTAATCTTTCAATTATAACTCTACCATACACTTTACCAGGTACACTCAACAGACTTATCCCCCTATAATTTTTTGCACTCTCTTTTATCCCCTTTGCCTTTATACAAAGGAACTATGCATGCTCTCTGCCAATCCCTAGGTACCTTACCCTCTTCCATACATTTATTAAATAATTGCACCAACCACTCCAAACTATATCCCCACCTGCTTTAACATTTCTATCTTTATCCATCAATCCCGGCTTCCTTACCCCCTTTTCATTTTACCTACTGCCTCACGAACTCCCCCACACTCACAACTGGCTCTTCCTCACTCCTACAAGATGTTATTCCTCCTTGCCCTATACACGAAATCACAGCTTCCCTATCTTCATCAACATTTAACAATTCCTCAAAATATTCCTTCCATCTTCCCAATACCTCTAACTCTCCATTTAATAACTCTCCTCTCCTATTTTTAACTGACAAATCCATTTGTTCTCTAGGCTTTCTTAACTTGTTAATCTCACTCCAAAACTTTTTCTTATTTTCAACAAAATTTGTTGATAACATCTCACCCACTCTCTCATTTGCTCTCTTTTTACATTGCTTCACCACTCTCTTAAACTTCTCTCTTTTTTCTCCATATACTCTTCCCTCCTTGCATCACTTCTACTTTGTAAAAACTCTCATATGCTAACTTTTTCTCCCTTACTACTCTCTTTACATCATCATTCCACCAATCGCTCCTCTTCCCTCCTGCACCCACTTTCCTGTAACCACAAACTTCTGCTGAACACTCTAACACTACATTTTTAAACCTACCCCATACCTCTTCGACCCCATTGCCTATGCTCTCATTAGCCCATCTATCCTCCAATAGCTGTTTATATCTTACCCTAACTGCCTCCTCTTTTAGTTTATAAACCTTCACCTCTCTCTTCCCTGATGCTTCTATTCTCCTTGTATCCCATCTACCTTTTACTCTCAGTGTAGCTACAACTAGAAAGTGATCTGATATATCTGTGGCCCCTCTATAAACATGTACATCCTGAAGTCTACTCAACAGTCTTTTATCTACCAATACATAATCCAACAAACTACTGTCATTTCGCCCTACATCATATCGTTATACTTATTTATCCTCTTTTTCTTAAAATTGTATTACCTATAACTAAACCCCTTTCTATACAAAGTTCAATCAAAGGGCTCCCATTAATCATTTACACCTGGCACCCCAAACTTACCTACCACACCCTCTCTAAAAGTTTCTCCTACTTTAGCATTCAAGTCCCCTACCACAATTACTCTCTCACTTGGTTCAAAGGCTCCTATACATTCTCTTAACATCTCCCCAAAATCTCTCTCTCTCCTCTGCATTCCTCTCTTCTCCAGGTGCATACACGCTTATTATGACCCACTTCTCGCATCCAACCTTTACTTTAATCCACATAATTCTTGAATTTACACATTCATATTCTCTTTTCTCCTTCCATAACTGATCATTTAACATTACTGCTACCCCTTCCTTTGCTCTAACTCTCTCAGATACTCCAGATTTAATCCCATTTATTTCCCCCCACTGAAACTCTCCTACCCCCTTCAGCTTTGTTTCGCTTAGGGCCAGGACATCCAACTTCTTTTCATTCATAACATCAGCAATCATCTGTTTCTTGTCATCCGCACTACATCCATGCACATTTAAGGGTCATGAATAGCTATAGATAGAGTGAAGGCATATGAAAGGAATAAATTTCTAGAGAATTGACTAGAGAAAACATAATTCTTCGACTCTCCTACCAAACGTTTGGTAAACAAATTTTGTATTTCTGTCAACTTTTATACTGTGGGTGTATCATGTTTATTATATAATTTTGAAAAAAATATCATAGATGGATTAATGGAAATGTCTATAATAACGTAATATACGACATTTAATGCGCCCAAGAGATTATATGGCGTCAAGTAGAAAGACTCTTAGTGATTTTAAAATGTACCTACAAGCCAGCACAGTGTATAAGTATATTTAGGTACAGGTGCACATAAGTATAATTATCAAAGTACATATAAAATATGCAATAACTTTAAAACACTTGAAATTTTGGAAAATTTCCAAACATAATAGAGTTGTGCTCACGAAGAATGTAAACAAAATGGGTGGGGAGCGCCATATTTGAAAGACCGCTCACCGTATAGCAAATTCTGGTCATAATTTGAAATTGCTGTATTATCGGAATGCCGTAAGGCGAAACGCCGTAAAGCAGGACCCTACTGTACTGTATACTGTAATAAAAATAATAAGAGGAAATCAGCTCTAATATAAATTATATAGGTACACATACTGGTCAGAGAGCCTGTCACAAGTCCAAGGTGTTGACAAACAAGTACTGTACGTCGCTAAGTGAGGAAAGGCTGTAGTGAGTATGTATGATTATTTGACCTGAAATGATTACTCAAATACTATTTGTTTTGTTACTATTTACTCCAAACTGCAAGTTAAGTTCCATCACACACTGCTTAGGATTATTCAATTATGCAGTAAAATCTCAATTTGACGGACCCCAATTTAACAGACTTCAGATTTAAAAGAGAGAGAGCATTCGGAAACAAATGACGAAATCCAATACTACAGTGGAACCTCAAATATCGAACTGCTCCCAACTATAAGTGTATTTTTGAGGGTCTGAAATGAACTAATCTAATTTACAGTATTACTGATGGGAATAAATTCGTTTGGTAACGGCACTCAAACAGCCATCTGGAACGAAGAAAGTTCGATATTTGAGGTTCCACTGTAAATCCAAAATTGTCCATTATTGGTATGGTCCTCTGGGTAGAGTGATTTTACATTTAACAGTCTTAAATCTACTGAGTAAATTTATTTTAAATTTTGATGGGCAAAGTTCATTAATCTATGATCATCCATTATTGTTGCAATAGTGAAAAACCAATCTCATAATTCTGATTTACCAAGTCAATCAGCCTTAATGGGCAGCCTTCTATTAACCCATTAAATCAAGGAGTCACTGCATTTAGTGTTACTTAGAGATGATTTGCTGTCATAATTCCATAATTTTTTTTTTAATAAATTTCAAATAAAACTAGCACTGTCATGAATTTCATTTGATTTTCTTACTCTGTATTTCTGCATCACACCAACATTAAGGTAATTTATAGGTATTATACACCATAAGAACATGAAATAAAAATGTCATAGCAGCAAATTTAGTGTATTACAGCAAGTGTTCATCCATATAAAATAGTACAGTTTTGAATTACCTTTATCAATCCACTCCTTGATATAGCTCACCATGACCTTCTCTTCATGCTTCAGAGTTTCTTCTATTTTATTTTCCAAAGCCATCCCATCTTGGTAGTTGCACTTATGTATACCTAAAGACAAATTTAAAAAAAAAAAAAATGGTTACTTGAAGCAAATTTTTTTTTTTTCAACAAGCCGGCCGTCTCCCACCAAGGCAGGGTGACCCAAAAAAGAAAGAAAATCCCCAAAAAGAAAATACTTTCATCATCATTCAACACTTTCACCACACTCACACATTATCACTGCTTTTGCAGAGGTGCTCAGAATACAACAGTTTAGAAGCATATACGTATAAAGATACACAACATATCCCTCCAAACTGCCAATATTCCAAACCCCTCCTTTTGTTGGGCATAATTAATGTTTTAACTGATAAATACAGTGGTACCTCGGGATACAAACAGCTCAAAACTCAAACAATTTGGTATGTGTATTAATGCAAGATATAAGATATAAACAGCTATTGGAGGATAGATGGGCTAATGAGAGCATAGGCAATGGGGTCGAAGAGGTATGGGGTAGGTTTAAAAATGTAGTGTTAGAGTGTTCAGCAGAAGTTTGTGGTTACAGGAAAGTGGGTGCAGGAGGGAAGAGGAGCGATTGGTGGAATGATGATGTAAAGAGAGTAGTAAGGGAGAAAAAGTTAGCATATGAGAAGTTTTTACAAAGTAGAAGTGATGCAAGGAGGGAAGAGTATATGGAGAAAAAGAGAGAAGTTAAGAGAGTGGTGAAGCAATGTAAAAAGAGAGCAAATGAGAGAGTGGGTGAGATGTTATCAACAAATTTTGTTGAAAATAAGAAAAAGTTTTGGAGTGAGATTAACAAGTTAAGAAAGCCTAGAGAACAAATGGATTTGTCAGTTAAAAATAGGAGAGGAGAGTTATTAAATGGAGAGGTAGAGGTATTGGAAGATGGAAGGAATATTTTGAGGAATTGTTAAATGTTGATGAAGATAGGGAAGCTGTGATTTCGTGTATAGGGCAAGGAGGAATAACATCTTGTAGGAGTGAGGAAGAGCCAGTTGTGAGTGTGGGGGAAGTTCGTGAGGCAGTAGGTAAAATGAAAGGGGTAAGGCAGCCGGGATTGATGGGATAAAGATAGAAATGTTAAAAGCAGGTGGGGATATAGTTTTGGAGTGGTTGGTGCAATTATTTAATAAATGTATGGAAGAGGGTAAGGTACCTAGGGATTGGCAGAGAGCATGCATAGTTCCTTTGTATAAAGGCAAAGGGGATAAAAGAGAGTGCAAAAATTATAGGGGGATAAGTCTGTTGAGTGTACCTGGTAAAGTGTATGGTAGAGTTATAATTGAAAGAATTAAGAGTAAGACGGAGAATAGGATAGCAGATGAACAAGGAGGCTTTAGGAAAGGTAGGGGGTGTGTGGACCAGGTGTTTACAGTGAAACATATAAGTGAACAGTATTTAGATAAGGCTAAAGAGGTCTTTGTGGCATTTATGGATTTGGAAAAGGCTTTATGACAGGGTGGATAGGGGGCAATGTGGCAGATGTTGCAAGTGTATGGTGTAGGAGGTAGGTTACTGAAAGCAGTGAAGAGTTTTTACGAGGATAGTGAGGCTCAAGTTAGAGTATGTAGGAAAGAGGGAAATTTTTTCCCAGTAAAAGTAGGCCTTAGACAAGGATGTGTGATGTCACCGTGGTTGTTTAAATATATTTATAGATGGGGTTGTAAGAGAAGTAAAATGCGAGGGTCTTGGCAAGAGGCGTGGAGTTAAAAGATAAAGAATCACACACAAAGTGGGAGTTGTCACAGCTGCTCTTTGCCGATGACACTGTGCTCTTGGGAGATTCTGAAGAGAGATTGCAGAGATTGGTGGATGAATTTGGTAGGGTGTGCAAAAGAAGAAAATTAAAGGTGAATACAGGAAAGAGTAAGGTTATGAGGATAACAAAAGATTAGGTGATGAAAGATTGAATATCAGATTGGAGGGAGAGAGTATGGAGGAGGTGAACGTATTCAGTATTTGGGAGTGGACGTGTCAGCGGATGGGTCATGAAAGATGAGGTGAATCATAGAATTGATGAGGGAAAAAGAGGGGAGTGGTGCATTAGGAGTCTGTGGAGACAAAGAACTTTGTCCTTGGAGGCAAAGAGGGGAATGTATGAGAGAATAGTTTTACCAACGCTCTTATATGGGTGTGAAGCGTGGGTGATGAATGTTTGCAGCGGGGGAGAAGGCTGGAGGCAGTGGAGATGTCATGTCTGAGGGCAATGTGTGGTGGTGAATATAATGCAGAGAATTCGTAGTTTGGAAGTTAGGAGGAGGTGCGGGATTCCCAAAACGTTGTCCAGAGGGCTGGGGAAAGGGGTTTTGTTGAGTGGTTCGGACATGTAGAGAGAATGGAGCGAAACAGAATGACTCAAGAGTGTATCAGTCTGTATTTGGAAGGAAGGCGGGGTGGGGTCGGGCCTAGGAAGGGTTGGAGGGAGGGGGTTTAAAGGAGGTTTTGTGTGCGAGGGGCTTGGATTTCCAGCAGGCATGCGTGAGCGTGTTTGATAGGAGTGAATTGGAGACAAATGGTTTTTAAATACTTGAGTGCTGTTGGTGTGTGAGCAAAGAACATTTATGAAGGGATTTCAGGGAAACCGGCAGGCCGGACTTGGTCCTGGAGATGGGAAGTACAGTGCCTGCACTTGAAGGAGGGGTGTTAATGCTGCAGTTAAAAACTGTAGTGTAAAGCACCCTTCTGGCAAGACAGTGATGGAGTGAATGATGGTGAAAGTTTTTCTTTTTCGGGCCACCCTGCCTTGGTGGGAATCGGCCGGTGTGATAATAAAAAAAAAAAAAAAAAAATTAATGCAAGTGCTCTTGTAAGTGCATTTTTAGGGGTCTGAAACGAATTAATTTAATTTACATCATTCCTTATGGGAACAAATTCGTTCGGTATCGGCACTCTAACAGCCTCCTGGAACGAATTAGGTTCGTATCCCGAGGTACCACTGTATTTGTGGATACAGAAAAAGATCTATGCCTATTGTGTCCTATCTAAAATCTATTTTTTAAGCTTGGTCTTGCATGCACGAAAACATGCATGCACTCCATCTCGCACGCACTCACACACTCAATCTCTATCTCTGTCTACTGTCTCTACCTCTATCTCTGCATTTTTCTCTCTATCTCTGTCTGTATCTCTATCTCTGTATCCCTGTCTGTCTGTCTCTGTCTGTGTATGTCTCTCTCTACGTCTGTGTCTCTGTCTCTATGTCTGTGTTTCTGTCTATGTGTGTGTTTCTGTCTCCCTGTCTGTCTCTGTCGCTCTGTCTTTGTCTCTATGTATGTCTGTCTCTGTCTCTCTCTATATCTCTCTCTCTCTCATCTATTATTATTTTTTATTATCACACTGGCCGATTCCCACCAAGGCAGGGTGGCCCGAAAAAGAAAAACTTTCACCATCATTCACTCCATCACTGTCTTGCCAGAAGGGTGCTTTACACTACAGTTTTTAAACTCCAACATTAACACCCCTCCTTCAGAGTGCAGACACTGTACTTCCCATCTCCAGGACTCAAGTCCGGCCTGCCGGTTTCCTGAACCCTTCATAAATGTTACTTTTGCTCACCCCTCCAACAAAACAAAGTCAAGTATTAAAAACCCCTTTGGTCTCCATTCCTCTTATCAACACGGGTCACGCACGCCTGCTGGAAGTCCAAGCCCCTCGCACATAAAACCTCCTTTACCCCTTCCCTCCAACCTTTCCTAGGCCGACCCCTACCCCGCCTTCCTTCCACTACAGACTGATACACTCTTGAAGTCACTCTGTTTCGCTCCATTCTCTCTACATGTCCGAACCACCTCAACAACCCTTCCTCAGCCCTCTGGACAACAGTTTTGGTAATCCCGCACCTCCTCCTAACTTCCAAACTACGAATTCTCTGCATTATATTCACACCACACATTGCCCTCATCTACATACATCAATACATTCACGTATGAGCACCGTACATTTGATGACAAATCAGAATGAGTAGTAACCTTCATAATGTCATTGTTAAGTCTGAGAAGCAGTTACAAGTGCGTCATGTTGAGTCATAAAATGAGCTATCTGTTTCTTATGTTGTAATTTCAAGGGGTACCTGCACACCAAAAGTGCCCTCCTTACAACAGAGCACCCGACAATCTTGACTTAACTGCAATTTTGAAACAAATAGCAACTGCATATAGAGAATTACCTAGTTCATTTTTTTTAGATTTTATAAAGCATGTTGAATACTAACCATAATGACCATCTAGCTTTACTTTCAGAATTTTGTCAAGAAAACGAAAGTTATTGAGCCCTGACACACAAGCAGCAGCTTGCTTCAATGACTGGAACCTGAAGAGAAGTTCATCTGAAGAACAAAAAAGGTCCATTAATAATGCAGTAATTATGTGATATGGCAAAAACATTAGTACAAACATCCCCTGCACCTAAGACTCCACTTGTTCTGGGAAAGCCATTACCAGTCATGTCATCATCAGTTGTGGGTGGCCAGAAACACCAAGTCACACACCTTTGGTGCGTGATGTGTGACTTTGGTGGCTACTCCCAGTACCACAGGCAACCTACAGTAACACTCATCAGAAACCATGCCTGGAGGCCACCTCTGGCGGTCGTCAAGGCTGTATTCCACCTGTACACCACCAGTCATTTAGCACTCCCATAATCAATTCCCATCGAGTAGGATAACATGACCAAAACAGTACAATTATCTCTTCTTCAGCCTAGGAGCTGATTCTCACAATGGAAATTTTCCCCATCAATGAGTCAAAATAAAGAGGTGGTTGGGGATGAGGAAAAGCAGGTTTAGATTTCATCCAAGGAAGGGGACAGGAAGTCCAGTGCCTTAAGCCAAGAGCCATTCCCCACATCATGGGAAGCTCCTTGGGGTTTACTAAGTTGAACTTGCTTCCTAGCTTTCTAGGTTAAATGAAGATACATTATGTATAACTTTTTGGTTGCACTTTACAATAGTGTTATGACAAGCCTACATTACTTCACTGCAGCTAATCAAAGGTTTATTAAATATAATTAATTGTTCAAGTTTAAAATTTAAATACAGAAATGTACAACTACAACAAATACTAGCATAATAAGAGAAATCACTGTTGAAAACTCACCTCCATCAAATTTTCCACTGCCAGCTGCACCGCATGCTTGAAACAACTTTAGGGTAACTGACAACGGGGTAATGTCCGATACATTCAACACCCTCACCACCACGTCTTTAAAAGGATACTTCTTTATATTTGTACATTCATATGAATCTTTCTTCATCTTGTCAGTTTTTGATAGATCACTTTGCACTTTCTCATTACTGTCATTAGAGCAAGCATTCTCTTCTGATCCAGAATTACTATGCACTCTATTCTGAAATTTATTACTTAAATCTAGATTAGAAGCACCTTGCTTCATACCAGTGTTTGTAGGTGCCTTTGTACTCTCATCACTAGAAATTGTGACATATTCAATAAGGGATTCTGGGCATTGTTTAGCTGAGGACTCTGGGAGCCATTTAGCTGAGGACTCTGGGAGCCATTTAGCTGAGGACTCAGAAAGCAGTATAGCTGAAGGCTCCAGAAGAGGTATAGCCGAGGACTCCGGAAGTGGGATAGTCGAGGGCTCCGGAAGAGGTATAGCCGAGGGTTCTGGAAGAGGTATAGCCGAGGGTTCTGGAAGAGGTATAGCCGAGGGTTCTGGAAGAGATATAGCTGAGGGTTCTGGAAGAGGTATAGCCGAGGGTTCTGGAAGAGATATAGCAGAGGGTTCTGGAAGAGGTATAGCCGAGGGATCTAAAACAGGTATACCCAAGGGGTCCGGAAGAGGTATAGCCAAGGGCTCCGGAAGAGGTATAGCCGAGGGCTCCGGAAGTGGTATAGCCGAGGACTCTGGAAGTGGTATAGCTGAGGACTCCTGCTGCAGTACAATTGATGACTCAGGTAGTGGTATAGCCAGGGAATCTGGCAGCGGTATAGACAAGGGCTTTGACAGTGGTATAACTGACGAATCCTTTTGAGATGTAGCCGAGGATTCCGGGAGTTGTTTCTCTGAGAATTCACGATATTGTTTCCTAAATGAATCAGATGGTGGTTTGATGGAAGATTTAGAGGAATGTTTGCTTGCTGATTCCAGTGGTGGTTTGACGGATGATTCTGACTCTACCGATTCTGATTTCTGTGTAGTAGAGTCTGGTTGCTGTTTAGGTGACAATGTCACCCTCTTCACCGCCTTACGTCTTACTGATTGCAGTCCTCTTAATTTAATACTCCTTGGGGTAAACATTGCTGGAATTAAGCCTGCACTGTGAAGTGTGGAAGACATAGGAGCCCTTGATGGTGTAGCAACTGGTTCCTGTATGGCAGGAGTTTTACCCTTCAATAAATGTGTCTTGCTTGGAGTTGGAGATTCAACTACATTGTCGACCCCACAATCGGTGGGAGGAACTTCAAGCTGCCCACTGTTGTAACCCTGAGTCCCCACTTTGTGTGTTTTTGAAGATTCATCATGAACATCTAGTGGAACTGAGGCTGTCAAAAGTTTATCATGCTCCAGAGTTTCAAAGCCTGGGGCAGCATCTGGTGTAAGTATACCTTGTCTCGGTGTTACTCTAGGAAGCTCTCTCTCTTCGTCTCCACCACAAGCTTCATCACAATCAATGCTGGATGACTTCTTTTCAAATGTTACTGATGATTCCTTGACAGATGTTACTGATAATTTATTTACAGATAACTGTGTGTGTTTCTTGACAGGTGTTTCTAGAGAATTCCTTACAGATATTTCTTGAGATTTCTCAACAGGTGTTAATGGCAATGCTTTAATATATGATTCTATAGATTCCTTGGCAGGTGATTCTGGCAAATCATTCCCAAATGAATTTAATGTCTGCTCAGGAGACCATTTATTTGGTTTCTTGCTGGCAGAGGATTCCAGTTGTTGTTCAGAGTATTCTAAATTTAGCGCAGATCTCTTCAGTGGTCGTTTAGCAATAGATTCTAACACTTGCTCAGCAGATGAATCGGACAATTTCTTGACAGGTAATTCTGGTAGCGGACCCTCTGATAATTCCAACGGTTGCTTGATATCACAATCCACTGGTTGCTTAATGGGAGCTCCCGTTGAGATTTTTTTGAGATTTGTCGAGTGTTTAATGGGTGTTGCTACATTCTTGACATGTAGTCCTGCATCCTGCTTGGCAGGTAGCTTGGCAGCATCCTTGGCAGTCTCGACTAATTGATAGCTGTTGTCAAGCAGTTGCTTGGAGGACATTATTTGTCGCCTCGAATATTCTACCAGCTCATCAAGTTCTACTGATTTAGGGGACTCGGATGGTTTGGCCTGAATTGGCTTTTCAGACTTTGTTGCTTTCTTGCCAGGTTCTTCAGGGTTCATAGCAAATTCTTTCAGATGGGCATTGTCTGTCAGTGTATTAGAATGTATCAACTGTTCAATAGGTTCTACAAATCTCTCTGCAGGTTTATAAGTAGGTTTTATTAATCTCTTAGCAGCTTCTGCTGGTTTTTCAATAAGTTCTATAGACCTCTTAACAGGTTCTACTGGTTGCTCAGTAGCTTTTGAAAATTTCTGATGCTCTGATAGGTGTTCAAGAGGTTCTACAGCAGGTTCTGCTTCCTCCTTGACAGGCTCTACTGACACAGCAGATTTTGCTTGATGCATGGCAAGATCTGGTGACTTGGCTGCGGGGCCAGCCGACGACTTGGCTGCGGGGCCAGCCGACGACTTGGCTGCGGGGCCAGCCGACGACTTGGCTGCGGGGCCAGCCGACGACTTGGCTGCGGGGCCAGCCGACGGCTTGGCTGCGGGGCCAGCCGACGGCTTGGCTGCGGGGCCAGCCGACGGCTTCGCTGCGGGGCCAGCCGACGGCTTCGCTGCGGGGCCAGCCGACGGCTTGGCTGTGGGGCCAGCCGATGGCTTGGCTGCGGGGCCAGCCGACGACTTGGCTGCGGGGCCAGCCGACGACTTGGCTGCGGGGCCAGCCGACGACTTGGCTGCGGGGCCAGCCGACGACTTGGCTGCGGGGCCAGCCGACGACTTGGCTGCGGGGCCAGCCGACGACTTGGCTGCGGGGCCAGCCGACGACTTGGCTGCTGGGCCAGCCGACGACTTGGCTGCGGGGCCAGCTGGCGACTTGGCTGCGGGGCCAGCCGACGACTTGGCTGCGGGGCCAGCCGACGACTTGGCTGCGGGGCCAGCCGACGACTTGGCTGCGGGGCCAGCCGACGACTTGGCTGCGGGGCCAGCCGACGACTTGGCTGCGGGGCCAGCCAACGACTTGGCTGCGGGGCCAGCCGACGACTTGGCTGCGGAGCCAGTCGACAACTTGGCTGCGGAGCCAGCCGACGACTTGGCTGGGAGGCCAGCCGATGACTTAGCTGGGGGGTCAGCCGACGACTTGACTGGGGGACCAGCCGACGACTTGGCTGGGGGGTCAGCCGACAACTTGGCTGGGGGGCCAGCCGACGACTTGACTGCTGAGGCCAGCTGATGACTTGGCTGGGGGTCCAGCTGGCACTGTGGCTGTAGGTCCCGCTGGTGCCATGGCTGGGGGTCCAACTGGTGCAGGGAGTGGGGGTCCAACTGTTGCCATGGCTGGTGGTCCAGCCGGTGCTATGGCTGGAGAGCTGGTTGAAGGTAAAGTTTTGCTTAACATATGAACAGCCGGGACATCAATGGAGGTCTCTGTTACTTTGCCTGTACTACACCCACAAACTTCACATTTGGTCTGTAAAACTATCTTCTTTTTATCTTCAGTTACTGATGATGATCCCAATTTGATACCTGCAAAATAAGGCTAATTTCAGTACATTACTTAGGTGACATCCCAGTAGCACGTCAAAGCCCACAAGCTCTTTATCTCCACTTTCTCTGATCTAACGCACAGACATCTTTGTTGAATGCTCAAGCCCCCACCACTCTAAAACCACCACTGCACCCTTCTCCAGCCTTTCCCAGGATGTCTCCCTAAACTTCCTTATTTATATACTTTTTTTTTTTTTTTTAAGAAGTCAACCATCTCCCACTGAGGCAAAGTGACCCAAAAAGAAATACCCAAAAAGAAAGAAAAAACTTTCATCCTCATTCAACACATGCACCATCATTCACACAATCACTGCCTTTGCAGAGGCACTCAGATACAACAGTTTAGATGTCACTCCAGACTAATACACAACTCATGAAATCGTAGTGACACGATTGCAAACAAACAATACCACAGGTTCAAGCCCCACCCGTGGTATGGTTAGAATAACACGTTAAAGTATTTTTGACCGTAGTGATACGTTAAGCATACCTTTATTATCCACAGTGCTGCTTACATTTATATCACAAATAACCAAAGAGGAAAATATATTTTGCTCTGTTCTGGACCACTGTAAAGTCCCAAGTAAGAAAAAGAGAAGGCATGAAGAGAGGTAGGGAAAAGGAAAGGTAGCAGAGGATGCAGGAGTAGTAGTAAAGGTAAATTACATCTCGGGGGATGGAGGAGGTGGAAGTAACTCGCCCTCTGACACATGTCCAAGGGGTAAAAAAAAAAAAAAAAAAAAAAAAAAAAAAAAAAAAAAAAAGATTATGGCAAAAGATTGAGGACAGCCCCATAGAAAAAGTGAGACCTTTTACTAACTGTATTCTACTACTACTACTACTACTATCACTACCATTTTTACCACTACAGGTATCATCCGACTTACGACCGAGTTCGGTTCCGACAAACTGGTTGCAAGTCGGAATGGACGCAAGTCGAACCTTACTACTGAACATCAACATCACATTTTTGTAATGACTATTTTATTGTTTTATTTTGGTATTTCATTTTTTACTTTACTTTTTTCTGCTGTTAGTACTGTATTTTATACTGTAAGGTTTAGGATAAACGCTGTGTACAACACAAACAGTTATTTCTCAGAAATTTGGCATAGAAAACACGGTTGTAAGTCGAATGGTCGTATGTCGGATGGTAGGTGTATTACTTTCCCTACTGTACTTTTTTTTCCCTCCTACTTTCAAACCTGTTCTCTGGTGTACTCTATAATTTTTTTCTCACCTAGCTGTGACTCAATGGTCCATGACAGACAACTGTTGTCTAAGGTTTCTCAAATGTGGATTGTTTGTAAATTATTCCACACAGTACAGTAGACAGTCATTTAACACAAGTTTATTTGGCACAATTTGATTATAGCACGATCGAAAAATTGCGGCACAAATTTATGCAACACTTCGTAAAATTAACTATACACGGTTCCGTTTGTGGGCACAGAAAAAATTTCCCCAGCTCAAGCTGCCACCTTGTTGTGGGTCAGCGGGGTAAACCTCCCGCCATCCCCTGCCACCCCCAACACTCCTACCACCACCATCCCAGCCTTCGTGAATGCGTGTCCAGTTCCATTCTCTCCTACAAGCTATCGCTAGCTGTGTTTGTGAATTGTGTTATGATCTTTAATTACCATATCTTGTATTTGCCAAGCAATCATGGCACCCAGTAAGCATACCAGTGTTGCTGAAAGAGGCAAGGTATAAGCATTTAAGTCTTAGAATTAACAAAGAAAATAGATATATTAGAAAAGAGAGAGCCTGTGGCCATAATGAAGCTTCACTTTGTGCACACAAGAATGAGGTAAATATGAGTTTGTGTGATGACTGACTGACTTACTGACTTGACTGATTAACTGACTGACTTAAAGTTAGATTTTTTCACTGAAGAGGACCCTGAAACAGTGTCTAGAGCAGCTGATGCCTTACTGTCAGTTGTATAATGTACTGTGGGGTAAAATAGAACAGAAATCTATTACAGAATTTATGCACACTCGAGTACAACCATTGACTTTAGTACCAGAACCTCTACCATCCACCTCAACCCAGTAGGACCATAGCATAACTCTCCACAGTCATCCACAAACACCAGCACCCACAATTTAAGATAAGAAACACTATTATTTCTGTTGCATTTGTAATCTTAAGCAGTGAAAACAACATAATACATCACGACAATGAACTACAATTACATATTCACTTATATTTTTGTAAGATCTGTTGGTCTAAAAATAAGTTTGTTTTTTGGGGGGCTCCCAGGAATGTAACCCTATTTTTCCCACAAGTTCTTCAGTTCATCTAACACAGTTTTACCTAACATGGTGTTTTCAGAAACGTAACTAAGTTAAATGACGGTCTACTGTACGTATATCAAAAAGAATGTGAATGACAATGTTAAGTATATAATGGCAAATTGCTTATAATTTGGACACACTGAAGGAATCCCCAAAAATAAGTTTAAATTCAGAATAAAAGATGTTAAAGAGTGAATCACTGATGTCTCAAATTGAAGGCATTTAAAAATTATGTTGTGTTCTGAAGCCATATTTAATAGTCTTTAAAATTGCTTCCACTTAGTTTTCAATACAAGAGGGTCCTACATATATAACATCTTTTCAGTATTCCATATTTTTGTTGGCTTCAAACTGAGTCACTGTTCATTGTTTCACCCACTGGCGATTTTTGCCGGAAGGTGGAACAATGGATCAGTTGAAAGCCAACGAAAACAAGGAATACTGAAAAGAGGTGTGAGGAGGGCCCCATCCATACAGCTCTAAATATAGCACCAGTTGTCCTTCCCTTATGCAACTGTTGTATAAAAATGGTGATAATGGTGGCACAGCATTAAAATCACTGAACATAATGAACAATGGCTCAACTGAAAGCCAACAAAAACATGGAAAACCAAAAATAGGTGTTGTATACACAGGGCCCACCTCTAATTATAATACACAATGAATGTCAACCCTCATTTAACAGACAAATACACATATCTCCACCCTACCTGAGTCATCTTGCAGAGCAGTAGATTTGCCTGAAGACTCTCCAACATTTTGCTCCATTTTTGCATTGACAAAATAAACTAATAAATCCTGGATGACTTTTTCCCAGGCTTCCTGGGCCAATGTGATTTCTTTGCAATTATTTTCACTGTTTATAAACTGCAACATTTTTTCTTTAGACTCTAAATACACATTCAATATTTTTATTGGTTCAGTATATCCAGACAAATTACTGATTATCATTGACAACCACTGGTTCTTAAAATGGTCACTACAGTCCTCCCAATCTTTTCGTTTGCCTGTAACAACATGCAAATCAGAATCAGCCTCTGAGATTGCATGTGCAGAGTTATGGAGATACAAAGTAATATCATCCCTATGTATCACTGATGACGGAGAGACAGGAGCCAAGAATATTGCAGAGTTATCTCCTAAATGCTCTGTTGCAGCACAGACAAACTCCAGAGCATGACTAATTGCTTCTTCAGCAATACTATTTGTGGCAGTGCTCTTATCACCAGAAACTGAAACACATTCAAGACTGATGCTTCTTAATGGATTCTGACACTTGGCCATAACACACTTGATTAAAGGCTTCGAAGATGTAGCCATCTGAGCCACCTCTGTAATAATAAACCAAAGGGTCTCAGATGGCCAATTTTGTTGGTATCTAAGAATAGTATCCAAGCCAGCATTATCGAGGCTTATGCATTCCTTGATAAAATGTATTTGTAAATGTCTACTTAATTCCATCACCTTGGAGGAAAGACACTGGCCACCAAGGACTACAACTTGCTGGAAAAGAGAAAATACTTCAACTTGGGATTTTATTTGTTTGTCTGGCAATGATGCGCTGTTTGACTCAAGTACAAGAGCCTGGTTGGGCATGTCAGATTCCACTGGTTTG